GATTTTTTTTTAATAATTCTTAATACAGCCCAATATTTATCATTGATTACATTTAGGGCATAATGATTTAATTTGTCATGTCCTCATTGTATTCCAGCGTAACTTTGTATTGGCTCCACAAACTAAATATTAAAAGCACAACAATTTTTTCTATATTACTTATGCTTTGAATATATAATATGTTATCTATTTGCTCGTCCTAGTGCTAAATGCGAAAACACAATTTTTTCTTTTTACAAGTTATGTATGCTTTTGTGGTATACAATTACAAACAGATTTCACTTTCATACCGTTGATTGTGTCCAATTCTGGTTGATTCAAGAGAGGGTTTGTCCACAGTGATTCGAGAGAGACAATGACGAACAGATAATGAACGCTGATTTTAGTTCTATTTACGATCTAGTCTTCTTGATTCTTCTAGCATTACTTTGATGTAGTTGGGATCTTCTGTCCCATTTTTTTGTCCAACTTAATAAAATCACGTAGTTTTAACATAAATCCACTCATTAATCAGTTCATTAATTGGCTCTAAAAAGATCGGCTCCGAAGTACGCCGTATAGTCTCCTTCCTTGTAATTGTAAGTACTGTGTTATGCTTTGAGAGAAAAAGAACAAGAATGACTTTGAAGTTCACCGGCAAAGATAAGTGAGAAACCTGTTTTTTACAGCAACTAAAACACAACGAAACTATATGGTTAACTTCAAAATCGCAGTCATCTCTCCGTTTCAGGATTTGTGAAAGGAAGAGATAGTCAGGGCCTCGAGGGGGTCTGCAAACAAGATGAAAGCCAATACTTCTTCTGTCCCATAATTATATTGTCCAGTTTGAGATTTTACTTTTAGTACAATTTGAACTAGAATTGAAATTGAAATTGGATAATAATTATGGGATGGAGGGAGTATGAAGAAAATGTGAAAAGATATAAAAAGAAAATAATGGCCAAATATGACAAACAATTAAATCAATAGAAGTCAAAATCAGAAATGCCAAGAAAAAAAGTACGTAAGAATTTCGGCGAAGGAGAGAATTTTACCAGGAATTGAGAAAGTTTGCGAAGGGAGTGGGGAATGTGTGAAGCGTGAAAACCGTCAAAGAAGAAGGGTTATTTGGCTAACATCGGAGGCGATCTTTTCAGAGCCAATTTAATGAATCGATTAAATGAGTTGGATTAATGTTAAAAACTATGTAGAGTGAGTGGGACAAATTTTATGGGACAGGAAACTTCCAACTCACTTTGATGGACCTTTTTTCCTTGCCTAGTTGCCATCGTTATCTTTATTTCCAGGCAATACATTGAATGTGTCTTTGTTTTCACGTCCTCTGTGCTTAAGGATGGCACTAAGATTCAAACTCAAGCTTCGTATCAGCATGGACTAGTACTTCAATGGGAACATAACATTCTTTCTCTTTCGCATCATCTATCATTGTGATTAGATGAGAGTAATACTTCTTTTCCCTCAATCTAATTAAGAAAAAAGACATCATTGAAAATTTAGTGATTTGTTGTGTATCCTGAATTTTTTAACCCAAATTCTGGTTACAGATGAGCAAGAGCAAATAATGAAGACCAAAAAAAAAAATAAATAAATAAAAATAACACTATATATATATATATATTCAGAGAACATGGAAGCAATCAATATTAAAGATTAATCATCTCACCATTAATCGGTCTTTCTTCTTACAGTTACGCATTAAAAATCCAATTCCATAAGATTTCAAAATTCAACATCTTCCCTACTGTTATATGGAACGCGCAACCTAACTAAGAACTTGTTTAGTTCATTAAAAAACAAGCAAGCTTCTACAAAGATGCATCATCCAGAATGAAGCCTAAATATTTTATGATTATTACATATACCATAATTTTTTTTCAGGAGGCACAGATATCATCATCTATATATAAATCCTTATGGTCGACAAAAGGAGGCATAAAACCATATATATAATAGACAACACATCACTCATCAACAGAGTATTTGACATAGTGGAAGCAGAGATCTCTTAACATCTGTTTGTGCAGCTCTCAGCTGTGCTGAAGCGTTGCTTTTTCCACTGTCCTATAGCATCATTGAAGACCACAGCTATAATCCCAGCACGTCCAACGTGGAAAACACTCACACATTCACGACTATGAGGAACAGGATATACACCAACACAGAGTGCCCCCTTGGCCAATTCGGAAGCATCGGTCATGGACATATTATATCGGGCCGTGCAAAACCAGACACTTCCACTAGAACCAGCTCCAGTGCCGAGGAATGGTCGCTCGCATATTCCCCCCTTAGCGTTCTTACATTCAATCTCGCCTTAAATCTATATACATCAACAAGAATTTGACCAAAGAAGAAAGAGAGAAAAAAAAACACCTAACTTCGATGAAGAAAAAAGGGATCTCAGAGGCGGCCGCAAGAGGCACGCGCAACCTAAATAATTAGGGTTTTGTGTTATAATAACTTAACAAAAACGAAAAAAAAAAAAAAGAAAAAGAAAATGAAAAACACGAATATATTTGTATTAGAATTTAGAATGCAAATTAAGAGGATAAATGGACATGAAGTTGTCACCTTGAGGACCTAGCTAATGATTGGAGTGCCAGGCAGCCATGGACGACTTTCGTTAAAAATAAAAACCTTCCAAGTTATGGAGAAAAAAATAAATAGTAATTAATGAAATCTCTTTTTTTCAAAAAAAAAAATAAATAAAATAAACTTCTTTCTTGAGAATGAATACAAGTCCAATATTTCTCATTGGTTTCTTTTAGGGCCTAGCCCCTTTTTCCCGGCCTGGTAATTTTGATTTCCTTGGAAAGAAAAACAAGAACGACAAATGTTCTTCACGCTTTCAATAAATGCATATTATTATTATTTGCTTTACACCTAAGTGTTAACTATGAAAAATTTTCGATTTTTACTGCCAGTTATGAACGTTATGGTATATAGATAATTAAACAGTAATTGTGATTCGAGAATGATATTATTTTATGTACTCCTTTTACTCTTTTTTTTTTAAAAAAAAAAAACTCCATTTTGTAAAACTAATATAGTGTAATTAAGTGAATTATTGTTTTTTGGAATGGAGGACTGATTTGTTCATTAATTACGTTAGTAATATCCTCAAACGTCTGAATTATAATCCTTAAAATTGACGTAGCTTCTTCCACGTATGTGATTCGTTTTGGGAGAGTGTACAAGTGGACAGATCAACACGAAGTACGGACACGTATTATATAAGTTGAGCGGTGGGATTGGCAGCAACGGCTTGTCATTTTATGCTTTTGACGTCAATAGCATAAATAAACCCCGATCGACAAAGTTTGTTACGCTTTACCCAATCAGGTTGATTGGGACCAAAAAAAAAGTGATATTTTTGGATTATATTTTCTGTAATGTAAATTTCTTTTGTTCTCGTAAAACATGTTCTTGTCATAAGATCGTATTATTATATTGTAACGTTTATTTTGCATATGAAACCTCTTTCATTTGCATTATTTCATTCTTTTTTCTATATTTATCCCGAGTTTTGTATTGGAAATATGTAGAAATGGAGCATTTGTGGGGTGGTTAAAAAAGGTTAAACATATTCACGAGTCTGGAACATGTACGTGCATAACAAGGTGGTAAAATATGATTAGCCTGTTTACCACGAAGGTGGTAACTTTTAGATGTGAAATCACTGTGTTAATTTCTCTCGTGAAAATAATCTAACCATCTGACACACCCCCTACCTTGATGCAGAGAATTTCAAGATTCACCGTTTTAATGTTACCACAAGACAATGATCTAAAACTCTGCTCAGCTTACCTCAAATTTCTTGCACAAAATTACCACATCCACTTCCTTAATTAGCACTACAAATACAAAACATTCAACCTTTTTGGATTTCCCATCACTACAATCTAAACATAATTTACAAAAAAAAAAAAAAAAAAAAACTCTTGAGTTCCAAGACATTAAAAATAGAAGAACTCTAAGATGCATAAATATGAGGTTCTGGAACTAAATTTCATATTCCTTTTTTTTTTTTTTTGATCTGAACTAAATTTCATATTCTTGCTTACTCATGAAGCATAGTTCTGCAAGTTGTAAGGTTTATATATGGTTTTGTGTGTAGACGTAATCTAAATGTACTTCAGCAATAACCCTAGCTTCTTTCAAAGCACTCCTTGTCTCTGTTTTTACAGCCTTTCAGACCCCATCAAATCCTGAAATTTTCATTAAGCACCCAATTCCACCGAAGGAGAATGCTTAGAACTGACAAGATTGGAGAGCATTAAAGCCAAAAATAGAAAAGAAGGACGAGGGATTATGTGCTCTTCCAACTTTAATGGCCTTCTCTGCTTCAACTTCTCCTGAAAAGCACATATAAAAAGGCTTAGAGTTACTGAAAGAAGGCACTAAGATTCAAACAAATACTTCATAGATTTTGGATAACAATACTCGAATACTCGAATCTCTTCCCGTGGTGGACTCTCAATATGTTCTTCTTTAGAATATATGTTAAAAGAAACATAAGAGCCATCGTCGTTTCTCCAAAAAAAAAACAGGAAACCATCATCCTTAAAATCATTAGGGAAAAGGGTTGCAAACGTACTAATTGGAAGAGGAGGACGACAATGGCCGAATAATTTCCAGAGAATTTATATTTTCCTTTCGGACCATATAACCTCTTTTCTGTCCAGTATCCATACATGCATTTCCCTTGCCGTCAGATGAGTCAGAGCTAACTTCTCTTTTCCCCAGTTAAAAGCCACTGCCCCTTCGAAACCTGGAGGGAACTTTTCGACGTATACAAATTTCCCAGCCTCGATTTCCAGGCATATTGTTCCTCAAATCCATGCACCACACAGCTTTAATTCAACAGCCACAAAATATCTCCAAATGAAACCTAGAGCAACATAGTGTGTAAAAACAATATCAGCATTTTATTACATTGGCCCAAATTATAAATCACAAGAAAATAAACCAGAAAAGACACTGCCACCCTGGCCGACAAGCCTTCAAAGCGCACGGCCAAGCTTATTAGCAATCCAAAGGATCCGCCGGCTGGAATTTGCCGATAAAGCACATTCTCTGATGAACTGCAAAGATGATGCCCAACTACGCACATTGGAATCCTGATATTGTTTCTTCAATTGCGGCTTCAACAGCCCACCCTTCACTTTATCAGCCACTGTTGTAGAACCAAAACACCGGCATCCGCTCACAAAATGATGCGTACAAGATAATCCAAGTGAAGAAAAATTGCGAATTGGTTTGTAGTTCAATGATGCCACCGACACCGAATCTTGCTTATCGACCAACCAGTCATGAGTTGAGAGTTGCTTGGACTCAATATTGGATTCCTCGACGAGTCTGTGACTCTCAGGAATATCTTTATTAAAAATAATAATTCCTTCCCTTTCTATCTCATCTAATTCAAGCCCTGCATCAAACCCTGCCTCCTTCAGGAGCCGAGAAAGTTGTCTAATCAAATCAAGCTTTGAAGCACCTTCATAATAATCAGTTTGCCGTAAGCAAGCTTCAATTTTATCACCGACTCTGTCAAATAATTCAAGCAACAACTCTATTGCTTCCATCTCCACCTTCTTCTTCTTTTGGGTGTCCTCGTCACTGTCAACAACGTTGTCAAAAGTAGATTTCGCATTGCCAGCCATGTCTTCTACGACAAAAATCAATAAGAAAGTCAATTCACGCAGTCTTGGCTCTTTCAAGTAATCGAAAAATTCTTGTTCAGTTTCAACAGTTTTAACCGCCAGCAGTCTCACAAGTTCAGCCTTGGAAGTGGACTTAAATCGATTACAATGAAAAATCAACTTGTGAAGGAGCAGCTGCGGTTCCATCGGAATAGAGTCTGATCTCCATGTCTTGGAACATGTCAAGTTTTCGAGAGCTAAATTCAGGGGCAGGACACCTTTCATGCCAACAAGATCTTGATCGATATGGACTCTGAGGTTGAGTTGTTCCTCATTTCCTGGGAGACACAATTTCGTGATCTCAAAGGCTCCGTAGCCAGCTGCCTTATGCAATATAGGAACTAGGCGTTCATTGCTGTCCACCAATGGAACAGCATTGACACCATTGAATTCCAAATATCTAGTGGTTTCTCCATTCAGCACAGGTTTCAAACAATTTACAGAGTCAAAAGTAAATATCAGACTGAAAGGATCATAACAAATTCTCAGCGCAAATCCTTTATAAACACGTTTAAGGACCTTCAACGTCATCACCAACATATCCTTTTTATCGTACATGATGGAATCGAAGAGCCTCGATTCCAAATACCTCGGCGAATAATTAGCCAGGAAGAATTCGTCCACTTCTTCTTCTTCATCATCCGTCATCTCTGATTCATCAGATTCGGACGTATACTCCTTCTCCTCAATCTCCTCCTGATCCCCTTCCTTTCTTTCAATTAAAAAAAAAACTTTGACCATTCTCCTTCGGGCTTCATCTCAGATTCCATCATCATTATTGTGATTAGAATCTAATCATTAGATAATAGTACTTCCTCCCTCCATCTATGCATGTTTCTTCCTACCTAAGAAAATAGCTACCAAACTAAATGGCTGGACGAAAATCCAGGCAGGCAAAAGTAAAAAAAGACAAACATAATTGAAAAACTTAACATGAATTTATAAGCCAAAAACAATTCTGTTTATAGAGTAAAAGTTAGTAATGTAGTAATAAACGAAGAACGGGAAAAAAAAAAAAAAAAAAACTATGTGTCCAGAGAATATGGAATATGAAAGATTATTATTAATCATCCCACAATTAATCGGGTTTTGCTTCTACCAATCAAGCATTCAAAATCCAATTCCAGAAGCTTTCAAAATTCAACATGTTCCCTACTGTTCTATGGAACGAGCAACCAAAATAATTACGGCTTTGGATTCTAATAACTTGATCACCCAAATTAGAACGCAAATTAAGAGGATAAAGAGACATAACGTAGTCACCTTGATGACCTAGCTAGTTGATGGGAGAGTGCCAGCCATGGAAGACTTTCATTAGAAATAAAAACCCTAGGAAGAATGTAAGAATGATACGATAAATTTAATTAAAACCCCCCAAAAAAGAAAGGTCGTGTTTTCTTAATAATGAAATACAAGTCCAATATTTTGTCAGTAATTTGTTTCGAACTTTGGTTTTCTTGGAAAGGAAAAACAAGAACAATAATTTCCTAGCCTTTGAAGATTTCAATAAACAATACTCCCTCCATTCCAAAATAAGTGTCGTCCTACACTTTGCACATAATTTAAGAAACTCTTAAATAAGGTAATAAAATTACTTAAATATCCTCAACCAACCCCATTATAAAATTGTCCACCAATAGCATCAACTCTTTTGAGGGTAATTTTGGAAACTTTTGACAAAAAGTGCATTGAAATGCGAGAACGACACTTATTTTGGAATTTCTCCATTTTGCTAAAACGACACTTATTTTGGAATGGAGAGAGTATCAAATTTTTCTTAAGCTTTCAAGAAATATACTCCCTCCGTCCCATAATTATGTCCAGTTTTACTAAAATGAAAGATTTTATTTTTGCTCAAACTTAATATATTTTACCTTAAACAACCAGATATACCCCTACATAAGTAATTGTTAACCACTAAGATTTTATGGATAATGTTTTTTATTAAGGACAAATGTGTAACTTGATCCATAAAAAGCCAAATTGGACAATAATTTTGGGACAAAATTTTTTAGACAAAGTGGACAATAATTATGGGACGGAGGGAGTACTTATTATTATTAATTTTTTGGCTTGTTTTCATCGCAACTAAGTGGCCAAGTGCTAACTACGAAAATACTAAATTTTATTGCTAGTTATGAACGTATGCAAACAATTAATCAGTATGACAGCTTTTGTTGATCATTTTGGGAGAAGATTTGAGGGGAAGTTGCAAGAGGAGGGTGGAATCCTCGGAGCTTCGTTCCTCCTTTGGGTTGAAAAGTGACGAAGCATGGAATTGTACGGTGCTTAGGACGGGCGGCGATGATGACCTAGACGGCGGTAAACGGCCTAAAACCTGTAAGACAGAGCCTCGGGTGTCTCTCGAGTGTAGACTCTCTGATGCTTAAGTTAATAAAAGGGTAGAAAGAATAGGGAGAGAGGTAGAAGATACGTGTATCAGATATCAATTATGATGGAGGCACCACCGCTTTATATAGAGGTGGTGTTACCTGTTTTCCTAAACCTAGTCGAATTAGGTTTAGTCGGTGACTTAACTTCCAAGATAGCCGGCCCAAACCCAATAAGGTTAGGGTTTAATCTATGACTCGTCAAGTGCCCCTAGTAAGCCATATTCTGGAGATTTGGTGAGAAGGATATGGGTTGCTATGAGTGTTGAGTCTTCTCAAATTTCGTGGTGTTGCCTCTAGTTCTCGAACTCTTTCGTTCTTGGGTGTCACCTATACAAGATAGAGAGAGTAGAATGCCTCGAAGAGGTCTTTGTGTTAGTAAGTTCTTTATTAGCAGGGGGAAGCTTGTTTATACCGAATTAGGAGGATAGCGCCTAGATTCTCTTATTTGAAGGGGAGAAGCCTATTTTCTCTTATTTGAAGGGGAGAAGGCTTTACTCTCTTATTTGAAGGGGAGAAACCTTTATTGCCTGTCGTGCTGGTCTTTCGTCGATATGCAATTTCACTCAAAAGGAGAATAATAGTATTAGTAATATATGAGTATAGATTCGAGAAACGTATTTAGAAAAGGTTTGAGATGTACTTCGATCTCGAGATAAATTAATTATTCGATAAGGTGTTACCTCGATTCTGAGAAAGTAATTGTTGAGTAGATAAAAGTCGAGATACATCTTCTCGAACACTTCGTGTAGTAATATGGTCTTCTTGAACACTTCGAATAGTAGTAAAGTGCTCGAGGGATGTTTGCCCCTTCGAGGAGATGTATCTGTCGAAAGTTCAGTATTCGAGATTGCTCCTTACTAATTGTTCTTCTTGATCAGCTGTGGAGTGAGTGCAGCTCCTCGATTATTTGTTCAATCGAAAACTTCTTTGTGCTACTTGTCGGCTGACATCGTCTTAGCCAAACAAAGATAATTTTTTGCATGATCTTCTAGTTGCTAAATCGGAGCAACGAATTACACCGTGACTGCGAAAGATACAAAAGATTCCGTGCTTCGCTAAGAAATTTATTTGGTTGTAAAGACCAAACAAATCGGTCCCACTGGGCGTGCCATTTGACGAAGCATGGAATTGTACGTTGCTTAGGACGGGCGGTCATGATGACCTAGGGTGTCTCCCGAATGTAGATTCTCCGATGCTTAAGTCAATAAAAGGATAGAAAGAATAAGGAGAGAGGTAAAAGATACGTGTATCAGATATCAATTATGAGGGAGGCACCACCTCTATATAAAGAGGTGGTGTTACCTGTTTCCCTAATCCTAGTCGAATTAGGTTTAGTCGATGACTTAACTTCCAAGATAGCCGGCCCAAACCCATTAGGGTTAGGGTTTAATCTATGACTTGTCAAAACGAAAACAATTTTCCTTGAAACCTCAAGCAATCTGATTAACTTAATGCGGGGAAAGTACAGTTCCTGTTGAAGCAATTTCTTTTAACTCTTTGAGGGAAAAAAATCAAACACTTAACGTGCAGCCCCATCAGCGTAATTACGGCCGTAACCTCGGAGGCCAAAACCAAACATTTTTTATATACATCACCATAGATCCCTTCCCCAGTACAACACAGGTAGTGATTTGAGCTACGCTTTCCTGCTGCCAAACATTGCTTCACGAGACCTCGAAATAAGAAGCAATTTCTTTATTTTTTTTATTTAAATTTACCCGTCGTACTGCAAAGTGCTAACCCCATTCAGTAAAATAAAATTCAGACCTTGTTATCTTTCTTCATCGATGGAAATTTAAACAACGTGAGAGATGATCGGTGAACGGCAAAGAAATTCATAAGAGTTCAGATATCTGTAGGGTAAACGAATCCATAAGAATCCAGAATTCTTGTGGAGGGCAAAGAGATTCTTGTGGTTTTGATCTTTGAGAAAGTGGAAGGAGTCTAGGAGCAGAGAAGAAACGTACCGGGAGTTTCCAGTCAGCATCGGGACAGGAGGAAAGGGAGTTAAACACGGTGGAGGGGGAACCGGCCGTGAACCCATTTTGACGGATCGAGCCTTTTATATATGGGTATATAGGTATAGATATAGATATAGATAAATGTTCCTAGAAAGAAAAATTCTTTGTTAAATTAAAGTAAAATAATAAAAATATACTATTTTGTTAGACGAAAGAAATATTAATGTGTGCGTTTATTACATGTTAATCCTTAAGCTTCTGAATAATCCTTAAATTGACGTAGCTTCTTCCACGTATGTCATTCGTTTCGGGAGACTGTACAAGTGGGCAGATCCACACGAAGTTCGAACACTTACTATATAAGTTGAGCGGTGGGATTGGCAGCAACGGCTTGTCATTTTATGCTTTAAACGTCAATAGCATAAACGAAATCCACAAAGCTTGTAACGCTTTACCAATCAGGTTGATCGAAACAAGAATCTCTTGTGGCATTTTTATGTTTTACTTTTTGCAATATACGGAGTAGAAGTATTTGATAAGTGAGATAAATAATTTATTATAACACCATGAAACCTCTCTCTTTTGCATTATTTCATTCGTTTTTTCTTTAGCCCGAATTTCTTTTTGGAAACATGGAGGAGACAGAGTACTTGTGCAGTATGGGAGGTGGTAAAAAAAATGGTTTTATTTTTCATTAGGGTGGTAACATGCACGTACCCATGAAGATGGTAAAATAATTGTTTACCGAGAAGGTGATTGACATTTAAATATGACGATGAAAACCAGTGTCACACATGGTAAATTTGTCTCGTAAAAATAATTTAACCGTCTAACTCAAAATTACCCTACCTTGGTGCAGAAAATTTCAAGATTCAGCATTCTCATGTTACCACAAGACAATGAGCTAAAAGCCTAAAGCTATGATAAGCTTATCTCAAATTTCTTTCACAAAATTACCGCATCCACTTATACTTAATTAATACTAATACACAACATTCAACATGTTCTGATTTCAGCACTACAATCTAAACATAATTACAAAAAATCACTGCGATTCTGCCCATCTCCAGGACAAAATAGGAGAATTCTAAGATACTGCTAAACAGAAAATGAGGTTCTGGAATTAAACCTGATATTCTTGCCTATTTATGAAGAACAATTTTCTGCGAGTTCTAAGGTTTATGGTTCTGTGTGTAGATGTAATCTAAATGAACTTCAGCAAGAACCCTTCTTTCAAAGCACTCCTTGTCTCCATTTTCACACCTTTCCAGACCCATCAAATCCTGAAAATTATATATATATATATATATATATATATATATTAAACACCAAATGAGAATGCTTATAACTGACAAGATTGGAGAGGAGAAAGCCAAAAATGGAAGAGAAGGAGAAGGGATTCAGGCAGTACACTCAGGGAATCAGAGTTTTCATCTCCTCTTCCAACTCTAACAAGCTTCTTCTCTGCTTCAACTTCTCCTGAAAAAGCATATAAAAGGCTAAAAGTTACTGAAAGAAGCCATTAAGATTCAAACAAGCCAGCTTTCATAACAGCTTGAAGTCTTGAACGACTGCTTTCAAAGAGTTTGGATTACCATGATTGACTGATAAAATTGGAGCAGCTGTGAGTTGCTCAGATGCAAGAAGGAAGATAAACATCAAGAATACAATTTTAGAGTGGTGGGATTTCAGCATCATTTATTTGCTCTGTTTTCCTCTGCTCCAAATCACCAGAGCTCCCTTTTGTGCTTGTGTAATTGTTTAGAATTTAGAAGGAAGATGGAACTTGGAAGTAGTGAAGGCGAAATTTGGTTGGCACTATGGCTATATATATAGTGGCAATGATCGAGATATTGATAACATAACAGTGATTAAATAACATTGATATAATAATAACTCATGTATTAGTTTGTAAGTATAATGACTTCATAATCTATCATATTGAGGACGAATTAATGAATACACAGTGATCCGAATATTGTTATGTTTTTGGTTACTCTTTATGTGCACATAATGCAGTTGAGAAGATGATTAAAGTTCAAAAAAAAAGTATTTTTTCTGTTACGAAATTATTGTCTAATTATAAAATAAAAGGTTTGCGTTACAATAATTTTAAAATAAAAGGGGTTAATAAAAAACAGCATATTATTATGCAATAGCTCCATGCTCATGTGACAACACACCACTAACTATATTGGTTTTGCTTTAGTCATTGTCAAGCTAAAATAGTGGTCCAAGTAGAGTTCAAAATTCAATGTAATCTAGTGGCTGACAGAATCAAACCAAGTCAACCTTTTAGGACTTTGCAGACAACTGTTTCCCATCACCCCTTGTTTTCTTCTTTCCTTTCAAGAACCCTACAAAATTTTGGAGTAAATATAGTCTTCATTAAGCTTTTTAAGTAACCATAATAAGAAACAAACAATTGTTAAAATGTAATAAAACCAAATGAAATTGCTTCCCACATGTAAGCAACCAATATGATTTTATCAGTGGCATGTCCACCTATCTTTTTTTAGTTAATTGGGATGTCATTTATCCCATTAAAGATGACAAAAAAGCAGCCACTCACACAATCACGTTGCTCGAATGTAGTAACATTAGTGTATTCTTGGTGTTATCTTACCAAACTCACCATTGCTTAAAATAAAAAGCAATTCCTAAAGAACCGCATCACATGGTTTTGATTCATTTTGTGTATCAATCTTATCATATTATTTTTTAAATAAAAAAATAGTGTTAACGGATCAAAACATAATCTATATAGTTATTGTATTCCTTAATTTAACGTAAATTTGTTTGAATGAGACATAATCGATACAAAATAAGAACTAATACAAAATCTAATTCTATCCCATGTTGGATTACAGAACAAAAGGGAATTAAAGTGGAATTGTGGTTTTACAGAGGTAACAGGAGGGCTTTGTAGGGCTTTTCTTGAGCAGTTTTTTTCCAAAAAAAAAAAAAAAAAAAGCTTTCTGAGCAGTCAGTCAACTTTCACATGGCAAGATTCCTTTGTTGAAGCGGGCAATGTTATTCCCCAATTGTGGGATGATGATTATATTTTAATGTGTAGTTGAATCTTTATGTCTCTTCATGCCTTAAAGGATAATTAGTTTGTGTATGTTGTAAGCAATTTGAAGCAGTTAAGATGGTTAATTTCATAACGTTCACGCTTTGGATTGCGTAAAAGGATATTAATTTTTCCTTGTGTTCCATAACTAGAGATAATTCTCTTGAAAAATGAAGCCTGTACTGTTACTAGTTAAAATTGGTGTCTGCTAGTTCCGGACAGATGTGGTTATAAACGACATGCATTTGTTCATCTGTTCATATTGCTTTGGGACTTGAATAAATTTCTGCTGTGTGATTGAATTTGAACATAATACTAGTACTAGCAACTTGCATTTTCAGCAAATGGGATCAAATCATGCTTTTTTTCTAGGCAATATTGTTCCATTCTGAGTGATGATTTCTGGCACTCTAATTGGATAGTGTTCTTTGAATATTGTGAAACTTTAGCCTATGTTTTGACTTCACATTACGTTCTGAACGGATGTGAAAGCTGCGTACATACAAGTTTGTGACCTCGAATTGATACCCAATCCTCTCTCGGTTCATATAATTCACTTCCACAGAATTAAACCAAATCACGTCTTTCCAAAAAAAAAAAAAAAAAGTACTGAACACAAGAGTAAGTTAGTGTTGTCCATCCTGATGAAATTAAACTTTAATGTTCATCATATTTCATTAAGAGTAATGTTTTTTAGAAAAAGTCATTTTAGTTTCGAAACCAGAAATATTCTTATGGAGCAAAGTGACTGATCAGAACATAATTAGTTTTGTGTTGTCCTTTTAAGGGCATTTGGTAATGACTGTTACAAAAGAAGACGACACAAGCTTTACAACAAAAATTAGCCAAAAAAGCACCACATTATGAGCACTATTGTCCTCTAACAGAAGGACAAGAACGATCACCGGCCATTCTACAAGTAAGAGGCTTTTACAACTTCATTTTGATTCCTAATCTTGAGGCAATCATTTGAATCAAAATGTCTAAAAAAACAATAGTAATGTTTTCTAATTTTCTTTGATTTGCCAAACAAAAAAGAGTCTGGCAGATTGCCTCTTATTGTTTGTTGCCTCATTTTAGTCACCACTTTACTGCTTTTGCCCGGGTGACCAAAGCACTAGTTGAAGTTTTGTTGTTCCTTAAAAAAAAAATGGCTGATAAGATTCTTTCAGACCATCATTTGATGACCAGAAATTGGCAAAACAAACAGTTTAGATGCAGGAAGTCAACAGGGTGAGCAAGATGATGTTGACCTCATAATAGGTCAACTATCGAAACACTTCCTAGCTTCATAAATGGCCAGATAGATATAATTACTGTACATCATAGCTTTCTTCTTCTCTTTTGCAAAGATTAAATGCTGTTGTATAATAAAATCATCAATGCATAGAATATCCACCTAAGCTTACATTTTCAGATTCTAGTGTTTCAATATGAGACTCCATTCCGATAGTTCTCCACCAGGAATCCACCCAAATTGTGAGGTTTTCATCCCACTTTATTTCAATTTCTTGTACTCTCCCTGTCCTAAAATTATTGTCCAATTTGAATTTTTATTTTCAGTATTGTCCTAACTGGACAATAATTTCGGGACGGGAGAGTATATTATTTCTTATTTATTTATTTATTTTCATATGTTCGCTTTTTTTTTTGACATAGTTTAAAACTTAGTCCCACTTAAGATAATTAAACAAATCTTATACATACATTCTCAAATGTATCCTTATCACTTTTCATTGAATTCAAGAATATTTAATTAATTTCAGTTATTAATGTAATATGCTAAATTGCTAAGTTATGCCTCCTTATTTGTAAAAAAATAATAATAATTTTAATTAATGCTCTCACTCATCAACTTACCAACTAGTCATTAATAGGGATTTATTAGAAATTTCACTTAAAAATTAAAATACATTAATTATATAAGTTACTTAAATTTTCTTAATTTCCGTGCAAGTTGGCCTATTAAATTCGAATGGAAAAAGTAGTATAGTGAGGGTTATTCAATTGGGATGGCAAGAGTAACTTTATTGGGCTTTTGGGCGCTCTTAAGCTCAAGAGATCTGCGAAATAAGCTTTCATTAGGCCCCATATCTCCTGGCAGCTGTCGATCCATTTTTGGCATATACAACGAGTAGTAGTAACTCGTTTATGGAAAGAGGGTTAGTAGGTAGTAACTCATTGGTGAACCGAAGGTACGAGCGAGAATGACAAAGCTGGAGAGGAGGCGTAAATCAAAGTTTAATTGTGCATGAACTAGAAAAACCCCTTATCCAACGGGGGGGGAGGGGGCAAGTGGAAAACAAATTAAAATCTTTTTCTCATTACCATTAAGTGATAAAATGTGTCTCTATTTTATTAACATAAACATTGTTATAATATCGTGAGATAAATTGCAAAATTATGGAGTTCCTCTACATCTAACATTATTACGATCTGCTCTGTAATTTGTAAATCATTTTCAAGAATTTTCTAGCCGAGGATATATTTCATGTTCCTTATTTAAGCGGGAAAAGGGAAAAAGAATCCTTTACCTATTCATATAATAACTAATACCCAACAATGCTGGATGGACAGATCAAAACTCGATCAGTTGGTATGTCCGTTTAGAGATATCAAGATATAATTATGTATTTACTTAATTCAGATTCATCCGTGGAAAATGAAAACGATTGGTTTTCTTTTTTTGGGAATTTTCAATTTCATTAATGAAAGGAGAAAAAAAAGATTCAACAATCCACGTCCAACTAGTACAGGGATCACTGGCACTTATCTCCGTATCATACATATTACAATGCAATTCTCCATATGACATCAAATTCAAATTTTTACGGAAAAGTCAATGGACTTTATGACTTTTTTTTAACTGCGAACCTTACTTGAAGTTTATGTTAGTGACTTAGTAAAAAAATATAGTACTCCTTCTCAGTTGTTACGATGATAAATCAACTTAATTAGGGTTTTTGAAAAAAAAAATATATATGTCAGTTTGCTTATAGAGAGTCTTAAAACAAACAAACAAACAACAAACAAAGTTCACTCATGGGTCAAAGGCCAATAGTAGATTTTCCATTCCTAGCTCCCAAATATAACAAATAGAAAAGTGATTTAAGAATATTAGTACTCCCTCTGTTCCATGATTATGATCCAGTTTGATATTTCACTTTTAGTACAATTTGAACTATAAATGAAAACTCAAACGGGAGAATAATTATGGGACAAAGGGAGTGTTATAAAAGTCAAAATTTTCTTAATACTGTAACATCAATACTTGTAAAAAGCGTACATTTCAGCTTCATTCCACGAGACAAAATAACAGCAAACGCTGATGGGCTCGGAAATATCATTTTAATTTCCAAGTCAAACTAAAATATTCATTTTAATAACTACATATTCAATATCGTCCATTTTTGGTTATTTGATAGCAACGAGCTTCTGTAGATTTTACATAAAAAACAACACGTGAATGAGATCAATTAATAACAATGGTGGAGTCACTAACAGTGACGGTCCCTAGTTAATCAGAATTTTTTTTAATTAAAAAGGACTTGAAATTTTTAGTGTTCATGGTTCAAGATTAGTTCTGTTTTCTTCGTTTTTTTGTAATTTCACACAACAAACTATTTGTTTTTCATTTTATTTTACCGCAACAATTTAAGAATTCTACATCTTCCACTCATTAGTTTACTCGTTTGTCAATTAAGCTACATCTAGAAATTCCAGCTCAAAGTCAATTTCCCAATGTATATTTTGTAAGAGACTTCCAACTGAAAGAGTAATTTCATAAGCAAATCTTAAGAATACTGCAATTAATTACACTTTGATTAATCGTAAAATCATTGACTATATATGTACCACATATAGTAAATAACGCAGATTGAGTAGCAGGATCGCTGGGGGTACC